CCTTTATATATTACATGTGAGCCTTCGTAAGCTCAAACTCTTGATTTATGAACAAGTTATTTTTGAAGTAAAATATTTTCACTTAATATTTTAATTATTTATTAACCATCTTCAAACCTTTATAATTCATTCATAGTAAATTGGATTTATATTTTTTTATGTCATTAAAAAGATAATAAAATTATTTTTATAAAATTATTTTTTAATTTTTTAATTTAATTTTTATTGAATAAAAAATAATTGAATAGATTATAAATTTAGAATTTAATTTTATATCTTCACATTCTTTGTTACAAACTTCCAATAAGAAGATTTTAAAAATATTTTAAAAATATTCTATCAAATTTTAGAAGGTTTCAAAAGATTTAAAAAATATTTTAATGAGAGGTTTTAAAAGATTTCAAAATATTTTTATAGAATATTTTAAAAGGTTCTAAAAATATTTTTATAGAATATCTTAAAAGGTTCTAAAAATATTCTTAGAATATTTTAATAGATTTTAGTTAGTTTTAGGAGGATTAAAGATATTATTATATTTGATAATTCAAGTTTTTTTGAACCAATTTGTGCAGTATTAGCTAAGGACTCATTAATTTTTAATATCAAGCAACATCATAACAATGAAAAGTTTAAATTCATGGAAGATCATTTGTATTTTAAAGATTATTTATATATTCCAATTTTTATTTTTTAGATTCAAACTATTGAAATTAGCATATAAATTCTCCTTACTGTATTTTAAATAAAAGAATATTTGTCAATTTCTTGCTAACTATGTGCATTAATGTTTTTTTTGGTAAAAAATAAAAACATCTATACAATGTATCTAACAAGGTTTTTTCAATTTTTCAATTTTTTTGAAACAATATATAATATTACATAGAAATTTAAATATAAATATATTTTAATATGCTTGAAAATGATTCAAAACACTTAATAATATAAGATAATTTTAATTCTTATAACTAGTGTAAAAAATAATTGAATTAGAAGTGCTTTTTAGATAACAATGCCATTCTTGACATAAGTTCATAAGAGCCAAAAGATTTATATTATAAATTTCTATTTAAAAATAATTTCTAGTTGTTGTGTATTTTAAAAAAATATATTATTTAAATTTATTTATAATAAAGTGAAATAAAGAGAATATTTATTTATTTTATTTATTAATAAATAAATTTTAAAATTTAAATAACATAAAATATAAGGTATATTGAAAGTTGCTATCATATCTTGGAATATTATATTTTTATTTTTTACTATTCTAAGTTATCTTGACTTATAAGTTTATAATTCTAAACTTATATATAAGTTTAAAGTAAAAACTAAAAGACTTTTTTCATAAATATGTTATAATATTTTGTAAATTTTAGTTTTTTTTGAAAAATATGCATTCTTATTACAGTTTTCTAATACATAATAGTTGGTGTCCTGTTAGACCTAGTTTATAAAATATTATTTACGATGATATATTCCAAATACTTAGCTTCAATTATCTTTACTTTAAACTCTTTTATATATATATATATATATATATATATATTCTTAGCATATAATCTTGTATTTTTTTAGTTTTTTTAATATAAGAAAAAAATTATTCATATATTTCCATGTTCTTTAAGAAGATAAATATTTTATCCTAATAGAAAAAAATAATAAGAATCAAAAAAAATTTACAAAATTTATCATTTTTTAAAAATTAAATATAAAAAATAGTTCTTTAATTTTTATAAAGGAATTAAAAATTAGTCCTATATGTAGTTGATTATTTTAAGGATAAATTGTTGAATTATAAAATTTATGTTTCAAAAAATATATAAATATTTTTTTTCTTGAGTATATCTTAGTATTCTTTATATTCTTATAGGACTTTTCTACAACCCCTATTTGAGTGATGATTTGGTGTTATATTGATAAAGAATGCATTTATTATTTTGTTTCTCATATAAATATGCTTGTTCTAAAACAGAATGATTAATCTTTAATCATATAAGACACACTTCTTGTTTTGATTTCTTTTTAGATAAAACAAGAAGAAAAGTAAAAGTACAAGTTATCCATCTACTTAAAGATTGTTTTTCTTTTTTCTATTTTTAATAAATCTAAAATAGTAGATTTGGTTGGAAATTTTATAAACATTTAATGATATATATATTTTTTTATCTTTAATAACTACTTCTAATAGTAAAGCTATATAAAGACATTGCTAAAAGATAAAGGAGATTTTATCTATGACTTCTTTATTTACACGTTTAAAGTCTTACACCAAAAATATCTTATAATAGTTAGCAATTTTTTTATAAAAAAAAAAAACAAAAAAAGACGCCAAAATATATTTATGAAAATATAGAACTTGTAGGTTTTTAGATCCTATACAAACGTATCCATATATATATATATATATATATATATATAAAATAATACAATAAACTTCACATTATGATATTATATAAGAATTTAGCAAGAGTGTTTTTATTATAGCTAATTTAACTTATTTTTGGATGTTTTATTTTTTATAATTATAATTATTGATTTGTAATTATGCCTTATGTTAAATCAATATTAAATGGTGAATTTTAACATTTTACAATATACATACAATCATTATTCTAAGTATCCAATTTTTTATTTTTATTATTATATATATATATATATATATATATATATATAATTGAAAGAAATGTATATTGTATAAAATCAATGTACATATCTTTCATATTTAATTGTGTAACTTGACTAATATAAGTAACAATCAGAAAGATTATAAAAATATAAAAGTATTATCATACAATTTTTTGCTTGAAGTTTAAAAGGTTTATTTTTTCATATGACAAAAAAATTATTTTTGTGACTTAATTCTTAAAGATTGAATATAACAAATAACTATTTTTACATCATATGTTGCAATTTAAAAAAATCAAGCATACCATTATTTCACTCATCACCAATTGATAATTGTCAAAATTTTGATGGATATGCAATCACAACAAATTTAATTCTTGTGAAATCCAAAAAAAATTGGTAATATGAAATTTTGTTATTTTATTTTTATATAAATAAAAGAAAATTAGTAGAAAAGCATCCAAAATTTTTAATATAAGAACTTATAGTTTTAAATTATTTAAAAAAAATCAAATAAAGGTATTTAATAATATATTATTTAAATGCTTAGATTGGATAAGAAAGATGGTATGACTTAGCAATAAGTTGTACTTAGTTAATAAATCTTTAAATTTTGGATCTAATACCATCAAAAGTCACTAAGAAATTAACTCGTTGTTTTCTAAATAATATAAGTATATTTCTAAAAAATCACTTAAGATAATAAAATTATTGAAGAAATTTTTATTATTTCTATGTCTTTTTAATTAATAACTTTAAATATTAGTTAAGGTAGTAGATAATGCTGATTTATAATAAGCATCAAATTTCTTATTTTTTCATATATGTATATATATGTATAAAAATATATGTGTGATGGTACATTCTTTCTTTTTATTTATTTTTCTTTAATTAAAAAAATTAATATTAATAAAAAAATATCAAAAAAATTAAATTAGAAGGAGAAAATTTGAAACCTTCACAATAATTTAATTTAAAATAAATAAAATGGTGGTCCACTCTTTATTAAGATTTATTAAGTTCTTACATTATGCATGCTAATCTTGTCAAACTATTAAGGACATGAATCCACACAAGCATTTTTAATGTCAAAAAATTTATATATAATTGATAAGAAAGAAAAATAACAAAGAAGTGATATAGGCTAGAATAACTATTGCTAAATACAAAGAAATTTAGAGGGTCTTGAAAAAATACTAGAATACAAGAAAAGAACTAAGAAGAGTGATGATGGCTTTAGTCTTACCTCTACACAATACTAGCTACAAAGAAGGCCATGTAGAAGCTCTTTATGGACTACAAAGCCTGTTGCATATATGCTTAAGTTGTAAATTGTTTCTATAGAGATTTTTTGAGTCAAGAAAATTTGAAGAGAAGATTCAATAGCTACATGGTACATCAAAAAGATTCTATAGATCTGATTAATGATTAAGATTCTATCTAAATATTTCTTGAGAAAGACATTATCCACATAAAATATTTATATTGGCTACTGTTTATTTATTTATTTATTTATTTATAGTTTAAGTAAAACACACATTTGTTACATGTATAGCTAATGTTCCTTGCATCTTTATGTTGACCTTTCTTTCTTTATTCTTGCAAAAATCAATTTAGATAAAATAAAAAGAAATAAGAATAATTTTATGTTTCCTTTCAATTACTAAATTTCTTATATACTATATTTCACAACCATCCATCTAATAAATTATTTTTTGTGATCAATTGCTCTAAACTAATTTATTAGAATCCACCTTCACTCACTCTTTTCAGAACATATTTCCAGTTGTAAGTTTTACAATATTCAAATTTTATGAATAAAAATAAATAAATTTGAAAAATTTAACATAAAATGTTATATCTTTATTGGTTATAGACGTTGAGGTTTAATATTTCAAAGTTAGAACCTTCATATAACAAGCATGCATAACTTTTGGAGGTTCTATGTTCTATTTTTGTTTGTTCTAGAATCTTCTTTGCTTCAACTATCAAGAATGAATATCTGATCTAGTAAAAACACACCATTTTAATTCCATAAATTTTACTCATAGTCATCAACTTAATCTCTCCTCACTTGAAATATTTTTTTTAGATGAAAAATATCAACTAAAATTCACATGAAATCCATGCAAGATGTTTTCAAAGTCAAAAATCAACTATTCAAATCTAATATTTTTTTTATTTCTAAAAAATTGAATAATTAAATCCAATCATAAATTTTTCCTCTGCATAAAAGCTACACATGATTATCGAGAAATAATTGAATAAACAATTCTTCTCAACACCAACTCTACCTTGCGGCGAAGAAAGCGTGACGTGAGTTGCTCAGGAATATGATTCGGGATCGAGGAAAGTGCGTCGGTTCGTGATGCGATCGATCGTCGGACACTGCGACTGGAGTAGCGGCCGGATCACGTCTTTGCGGAATTTCGGCAGATGAGTACCATTGAGAGGCGCAATTTCAGAGGCATGTGCATCAATTTCACACCGTGTATCGTAGTGTCGCCGAAATGGGAACTGAAAATGAGCAAGAGGCTCGTCTGGGCATTCTGGCGACATGCTTTTGCGTATGGGTTGTGGTCGCTTGCGAGGTGGATGCAGCAAAGCTCGATGGTAGCACTGATGACCAGGATGCAACGCAATTTTCAGCGAGAATTGAATTGCCGGGATTCCGCCTCCGTTTCAAAGACGGCGCATCTGCGTTCAAGATCGCCATCTTCGCCGACCTGCACTACGGGGAAAATGCTTGGGACGATTGGGGGCCTCGGCAAGAATTCCACGAGTGTTCAATCCTTCCTGCTGAATCGCGAAAGCCCAGGTGAGCGTAGACTGGATTTCTCGTGGATTTTTCACGTCATTTGGATGCATCTCTTGGAGTTTCACAGACGGAAGTGTTTATTTACAGACTTTGTTGTGTACCTCGGGGATGTGATAACTGCAAACAACCTCCCTTACCATGACGCAACTGTGCATTGGCGAGAAGCAATTGGGCCAGCAGTGCAGATGGACATCCCATTCGCTTCAGTGTTTGGGAATCATGACGACGCGCCCTTTGAATGGGATCCAGATTCAGGTGCGCCTGATTCTTTCAGCTTATATATCCAATACACGCAATTTCTAAATCCTGCCATTGTTTCCAGGACTGTGAGTAGGTCTGATTTGCTAGTACGGCTGTCCCTTCAATCAGGCATACCTCCTGATGCACCCAAGCAAACAACATCACGGAAGGAGCTAATGGAGTTCGACACAAGCTTGCCCTCTTCATTCTCTTTAGCAGGACCAAATACGCTATGGCCCAGTGTTTCCAACTACGTCATCCCCATCACTTCTTCAGGCGGTACAATGACAGTTGCAATAATGTATTTTCTGGATTCTGGCGGTGGCTCAATGTCGGAGGTCATTTCGGCGCATCAAGCTGCTTGGTTCACAGCCACCGCTTCTGAGATCAACCCCGACGCATCGTATGAATTTTCAGCTTGAAGACGGTGACATTGGGTTGCGTATGCGAATTCTATCTTCCATTTCGTTCCTTCAAATTGATTATTTTAAATTCTTCGATTGTGAAGACTGAGTTTCAGAGCTAATGGAAACAGTGATTGATTCATTTCGCACTTGGTGATCCAGAATCCCTGAACTTGTGTTCTGGCATATACCAAGAATCGCGTATAAGCAAGCCGGACCCGGAGCAAATATACCGATCGAAGCTCCTTGCGTTGGGTCTATCAACGACGAGAAAATTGCCCCACAGGAAACTGAGGGTGGCATCATGAATGTTCTCCTGACCCGCAAGTCAGTCAAGGTATTTTGATAATATTCTTCTGAAAATTCTGCATCGCAATTTGAGCCACGGTTGTCAATCTCAGGTTCTTACACTAGTTTGGCTTCCTTCATGATGTGACTAATTTGTAATGCCACGCAAATTTCAAGTATAGGCAGTCCTTGTAGGACATAACCACGGACTCGATTGGTGTTGTCCTTACCACAACCTGCAACTCTGCTGCTCGAGGCATACCGGTTATGGTGGCTATGGCACATGGAAACGAGGAGCACGGTTTGTGGAGATAATGCAGGAGCCGACGTTGCGGATCATGACTTCAGTGATCCTAGAGGATGGAAGCGTTGTCTCCGAATTGCAGCTTGTGTGACATGCCGCACTAAGGTAGCGAGGTGGTGGATTGGAGCGCGTCAGAGAGCAAGATTTTCAAACAAATGATGGTGTTCCTTTAAATAGATTTGAAATCGGGGGTTTAACATGAAGTGATACTAAAATAACAGCACACTCTGACCACTATACAAAACGAGACTCCAACCAAAAAGTAAAATGTAGGGTAGCCGACATCATTCACAGCTTGATCATGTAAATACATCAAAGCTGTAATATGATGTAAATGTATTTGTTTCGGTGTGGAATCACAACGTGATATCGTAACTAAGAATTTTAGGAGTAATTCGACTGATTCAAAGAAACCCAAACAATTGAGATCGAGCTATAACAGCTAGTTACTGCACAAAGCTATTTGCGAGTGACTTGTGCAGCTCAACAAGGATGTGAGATCTAGAGAATGTATCAAGAAAAGAGTTGCAGTGGTAAACTAGAAACTACATCCGAGGGCAGGTTAAGACTCTGGTGATTACAGTGATAATTGTAATAATTCTACTCTACAATTTGAAGGGCTGAAATACCTTAAACGTTGAGCACATCTGCTTTTCAGCAGCAAAAGGTAGTGCTTAACGTACATGCTATTTTTCGTCATAATCTAGCAGAAGACAATGGTCTTGTTCGTGCTATATCGCATTATTCGTTGCTCGCAGTAATATTTGATTGCCTTCGCTAGGCACTGCTTCTCAAGATTCTCTGATCTCGTAGCAAACGTATGGAGACTGTCCCTATGTGATACCATATCCACCTGTCCGCCAAAGTGTTAGTAACGGTTCTTTGAAGATTGCGCAGAAATAGCTACTCTGTATACATAAATATACACCATTTGGTGATGCTAAAACATTGGAAACCAAAAGAACTCTCACGATTCTTAAAGAAAGAATACTAGGATACTGTAACAGAAGGAGAACAACACTATCATAGATCATGGCTTCACAGTTGAGTTGATCAACACGTGGTAGCATACCATTTGTTCTATGATGGGACCATCATCAAGTTCCTCAGTGACGAAATGGCTTGTGGCACCTATTAATTTCACTCCAGCTTCATAAGCCTACATTTATAAAGACAATGTCCAATCACACAATCAGTTATTGCGAAATTCAGAAAACTATGAATAATTGTACGAAATTAAAATCAAATAGAGAAAACGGTCTCTGTTAAGTGAGCCCATTCATAAGTTACTGCAGCCTCAGCAATAAAACCCCTGTTCTCCATTGATCTCCACCCGCATTCTGAAAACTCACTTGAGTTGCACAAATAAATGCAAGAACATTCTGCTCAACCTGTCTGTAAGGGTTTGCTCCTTTGAATGAAGGCAAGAGTCCATGATGAATGTTGATGATATCCTTCTTGTACCCTTTCAGAAATGTTGGTGACAAAACCTGTCGAAGAAAGACAATAACATATCATTCTATTAGCTGCAAAGCACTTAAAGAGGTGGTAAAATAGAAGAATCTGAATAAGCGAACGGAAGTACCGTATTTCGAAAGCAGCTGTTCACTTACAAGCGCCAAAGAGGCTGTACACTTCATAATTAAATGCAAATCGAAAAATTCAATTTATTCCTAGACTGAAACATGTCGGTAATGTGACCAGCCTAGGATGAGTCTAAGAAAACAAAACCTTGGGTCAAGCCAGAAGGTTTACTCCCTTTTATAAAACGTATAGAATAAAGACCATTAGCATCAAGAACTTTGACGATACCGTTGTCGTTCACGTTCTTTTTAGCAGAACGAGGAAGACGTATTCAGTGGAATCAGAGGATGATGACGAACACCTCAGATCGCATTCTCATAACTATAGAATGCTTCGGTTGTTGACAACACAATACAAAGCTAAACTACGTTACTCTAGTCTTTGTGTACCATTTGCATACCTATATAATAACCACTTGCGATGATCCAAAAGCGATGATAGAATACCTGCATGTAGCGAGCAAGTACTAGAAAATCGGTGCCTGAGACCAAGTCAAGAATCTCCTCTTCACGCTTATTACCTTTGCTTGTGGGAAGATAATGATATGGTATTCCATGCCTCTCAAGAAATCGTAGGACATGAGTGTTTGGTCCACGATTATGATTGCTGACGAATGTAGTGCACCTGGGTTAGTCCTTTAGTTACATTTAGAGGTCAAGAACACAGTAATATTGAAAAGATTATTGCAGCCTGATCTTACCCACAGGAGAAAATCAGAGGAAAAATTTATGTAAAAAAGAAAAGAAAAAAAGAAGAAGAAAACATGGTATTGCGGGAGTTATAAGAAATTACATATTGTTTACTCGTAAGTTAAAAATAATGTATCATACACAGATAAAAAAGAAAAAAATACTAACTCGAAGACTCAGTATTGAATGCCAATGTTCTTAGTATTTAAATAAGAAGTTCAATGCTCAAGAACTAGAACCGAAAACATGCAATTGACGGCAAAATACCTGATGACACAGCTTAGATTAGCCGGAAGCTCCCCCTCTTGCCATCGGTGCAACAAATCAATCAAGCAATGATCCTACACACCCAGTTCAACACCCTGACTTCTGAGCTTCAGCCTCTTTGGATGCACACAGGAAAAGGAATCTGTCTTGTTCAACTAGCACACCTGCCAGGACGCGAGGACGGCCAGCTTCAAGTCCGGATCGCTTCCTAGAACTCGCACTACGGATTTCTCGGCCTTGAAATGGTGGGCCAGTTCTGCGAAGTCCTCGTCCATGACAGCACGAGGCCACTGCAATGGATTGAATGCAAACTCACTGAACAAAAGCGTGAGCCTAGATCAACAGATGAAGAATCACTCGCATCCTGTCTAACGACATTCATACATTCAACCGAGAGATTCACGTCAGAAAGCTACAGTTTCAAAACCAGAAAGAGAATTTAAGCTCACGAGCTCAGGAGACTTTACCTTCGTGCATAAAAGATTGGAGACTGTTTCTTGTCGTCGAAGTCGATGTAGAGATCTACATTTAGAATATTGGCTCCACGCAATGCAATGCACTTAGAGATCCTAGCAATGATCCCAAGCTGGTCCTAGAACACACCGCGGACAAATAACCATGCCTATGCTTGGATAAAACAAGTCAAAATTTGTAATCTACTGACCCTTGCTAACAAAGCCCATGTACCTATCTACGCTTTCCCTACTGCGATCATGGAAAGAGGATGCCATGTGAGCATTGGTCATAACTGAACACGACATTGGCCGTGACAAAGTTTACGATCTCTCAAAAAGCCCACTAAACGGATAAATTTGAAGAATGTAAATGAGGTTTAGCGAGCAAGAATAAGGGTAATCTCAAAAGAATATGGCAAATCAGAGGGACTGGGTACGAGTATTTGGGAAGCAAATTGATGGCTTACAGCGCATTGAAAGACGTGAACTCCGTGAACCTCGCCCGGAGAACCACCTTCGCATTCTCCTTTGCCTTCATAACACCGGGCACGCCTGGATTCATGCGACCCAATAGCGTTGCAACCATAGCTACGACGCAATTCTCTCAGCAAGCCGAGGCTGCAGCTATTCCTTCTAGCCCAAACGTCTCTCAAAGCCTTCCCAAGTAGCATTATGCCTCGATCACGCACATTCAACCATCCAAAACCCACCCACCCACTCACTCACACCCAACCCTCTCAAACAGAAAACATGAAAAAAATATGATTAAAAACCCTTTGCAAACCTCCAACATCAACTAACGATTTCCAACCCAAGAAGGCAAAACCCAGCAACAAAAACCTCCCAGGAGAACGAATGAGCCACATTCACTACACAGCGAAAACAGTAGAATCTATCGAGGACACCAACTATGAAAATTCCATGACGCATACAGCCCGCTATACTTGCTGACGATTTCATCAGGCGATTCGATGCGACGACGCTGGAGCAGAAATTAAGTCAGCGAGGTTGACACGGGAAAAAAATAAAATAAAAAAATCCGATGATTTATTGCTATTCCACCGCGGGCAACGACACCGTCGCAAATGAAAAGGATCGAAAGACAGCGAATTCCAAGCCTTTCCACCGCCGCGGCGATCGGACCGGGCCGAGCATAGTCTCCCGTGAGAGTCTTGTGGACATTCCTATAACGGGATCAAATCTCCGTGAAACGGTTATCAACTGATCCGGTCAGCAACCAGTGCAGGTCAAGTGCCAACCAAAAATTAACTTATTTTTAAATTGGGTTTTCTTTTTCAATATTTTCATTATTTTTATTTTTCCTTGAACTTATTTGGGTTCTAAATTTCCTATTTCTGGAAATTTTGAAACCACTTTCTTAACCAGGTTTCCATAATGAAGAAAAATTATGGAAGGTTAAGAAAAACAATAATGGTAAAAATCTATCTACATATACATACAAAATGTAATTTTTTCTTTGAATTTTCAATTAAAAAATAAAAATAAAATTTAAAATTTCATATATCATTTTGGCAAATTAGAAATTTTACAAAATATTCCTATATTTGATTAAAAAGGTACATTTAACAAAAGTAAATGTATTTCAAAATTATGACAATTTTTTCTTAATGATCATTATTTCATATTAAATTACTTAACTTCATAAAAATATGTCCAAGATATGTAAATTTATAAAACATGCCATACTTTTTAAAGATATTAATTTATAAAACAAACCATCTTTGATAAACTATTTAATATTTTTACAAATACAACAAAGTTTTATAAGTGACAAATATTATGGGTATAAATAAGAACTAAAAAAAGACTCTATTGGATATTAAATGGAATTGATAACTATTTATATTTAAGTGTTTTATCATATTATATACACATATTGATTAACAAGCTTAAGACAACTTAGAATAATATATATAATATCTATAAAGAGAGAAACAAATAAGCAATTGCAAGGATAACAAAAATTTGAGGCATAAAGATTTTGTAATAATCAAATACTTTTTAACAAAGATATGAAGCAATGTGATACAATAAAGTCTAAAATAATATTAAAATACTACAATCTTAGAAGCATAAATAATTAATAGAGCATTTGTTTTCAAGTAAAGAAATAAAGATGCTTTAAGAAAAATCCATACTATAATTGTAGAAAGAAAGAAAGAAAAAAAAAAAAAAAAAAGTAAAAAAATCATATGCACACATATTTAAGAGAATTAAAGAAGGAATTAGTTGCAAAAATATTAGCTAAAGGCTCTACTTAAATAAACTTTCAAGTCATGTCAACAACACAAGTTATAAGAAATTAGATAAAAACCATATTTTGATTATATATTTTTTACATTAAATAAAAATCAATAATAAGAAACAATAACATAAAAATAAAAATAAAAACCAAAAAATATGTATTACTCAACAGCAATACTTAAAAAAGTTCTAATATTGATAAGATTGTCGCAAAGCAACAAAGAACTCAACACTTAAAGATTGATAGTTGATGTTAGATTAAATAGCAAGGGCATTCTTTTAACACAATACACTACAATTTAAAGGGGTTTGGTATAAACAACACAAAAGACAAGATAAAATAATCTCAATTTAAACAATAAGAAGATAAAATTATATATTTTTTGATCTTAGAGTAAGAAAAGATAATAGTCTTTAAAGAGTTACAAAGTAAAATATTCTTTATAAAAATTATTTTAAAGGATCTCTAATCAACAAATATTTATCTCAAAGATATAAGCTTTGACATCAATAAGTTTAAGAATTAGAGAAAATACTATTATATTAAACAAAATTTTATATTTTTAAAGCAACTATAAAAATATATTAATAATTCAAACAGAGCAATTGCAAAAAGAATATAAATTTTAACTTCTTCTTAAATTAAGCATACAGTAGTTAATATATAATTAATTATATTTTTATAATTTTATGGATAAACCTAAAAGATTTTTCCATAGATCGATTGGGAGTGATATTATTTTAGATATTAAATAAACTATAAAAAAATATATAAGCAATAGAATAAGCTAAGACATTTATTACAAAAAAACATAATTTTGACTATTAGAACTAATTAAAGAATCACTAAAGAGTCTAATTTTGTAATTATAAAATAATGAATACTAAAAAAAATCAATACTTCTTATTTTAAAATAAAGATGGAATTTCAAAATATATATTTTTAGTAAGTAGATGTTTAAGATTCTTATAGAATAATCATAAAAATTATATTTGAGTATTAGCAAAAATAAGTATATTTTATATTAGTAGCTTAGCTTATAACCAAAATATTGCATTAAGTTAATAAATCATTAGAGATGTTGTCTTATTAAATCACTTATTGAACCAACTATTTTTTTAAACTAAAAATAATATTAAATTTTAGACTATCATTATTTTAAAGACTAAAAAATTAAAGTTCAAATTTCTTAAATATAGGTTTTAATTCAAAAAATAAGTTCTTTTAAATATATAATTTAATTTTAAAAATAATAAATTAAAAATATATTATTTGGAAATTTTAAAAATATATTTTTAAAGATTCCAAAAAGCTAAATAAGAATTAAAATACAAAGTGATGGCATAAGAAGCTTATAATTTTTTTTATAATGATCTCTAAAATATGTGTTCAATAAAGTATTAAACAAGTCTAGGTGCATTTAGCAAAAATTGAAGATTAAAGAGAAGAATATGTAATTTCATCAAAAGTAAAATAGAAATTAGAAAACAAATTAGTATAACTTATATTTCTTGATAGTATCTAAAAAATAACTTAATCTTAAAGTTTAGTTTTTTTAATAAAAATAAAAAGTTTCAAATAAAATAAAATAAAAATTAATATTTTATTTAAAAAAAATACTAAAATATTTATATTATTTTATATCAATGTTATAAAAACATAAATATGCATTAAGAGACTTTAGAAAATTTATTAGAAATAATTTATTTTAAATTTATTAAGCTTAAAAAATATAATCTTAATTACAATATTAAAATAAAAAATCTATTAAATATTCAAAAATATTGAAAATAAAAAATATCAAATTAAATTAAAGTTTGGCTAAAATTCTTTAAAAGAAATTAATAATTCATTAAAAAATCTTTATTATTTATAATGATCTAGTTAAAAGAAATTTCTTAAAAATAATTATTAAAAAAAATAAAAATTATTCCTAAAATTTTCTAAAAAATCAAGAATATCTTGATATTCTTGATAAATACACATATATCCCTCAATCTTGTTAAAATAAAAAATCTACTTCTATATTTAATAAGTTATTATAAAATCTCTAATTTTAGGTTAAAATGGGATCCAAGCTACAAGCTACATGGTATTTTTTTAGTTTTTTTAATCATCATTGTGATTATCTCTCAAGAATTAAGCTGCAACGTGCATTCTTTGTTGCAATCTTTGTTGCCACTACTACCATGCTTGCACCATTGTCGTATTACATGCTATCTTGCTTGAGAACGCACAGGACAACTGATTGTGGAAGATAAAACAATGTTTTGTAAGTATCTAAGTAGGCTAGTAGGTTTCAACCATCTAAATACAAACTATTTCGGATTTCAATGTAAAAGCTTAATCCTACTACAAAATACTTAGAAACACTATTTTTAATAACTTCAAGATATTATAAGCACAAGTCTTTTGTTATTTGTTAGTTTTTATTTTTTATTAATTTTTTATTTTATTTTATTATTTTATTTTAATTTTAATTTATTTTATTTTATTTTTAATCCTAACTCTAGACAGCGAGCTTCAGCAAGCTATAATTCTCAATGTGACTGTCCGATTGTTGTAAACTTCTACCACTAGTGTCTTTGCAAGCCTTCTAAATGCTCAAGAAGTTTCAATCCAATCTAACTTACAAGTTGTAAGAAAATGTCATTAATCCACACTGATGTATCTTGACTGTCGTCTAGAAGTCCTCAACTTACCACACCAAAAGTCACCTTATTCCAACCGATAGATCTCTAGATATTACAAAAACCCTAAATAACTCCAATCTCTTAACTTTCGATACTTCTTTAGACTAATGGTCAAATATCCTCTATCTATTTCGTCAGATTAATAGAAACTTTTGCATGCACTCGGTATACTCAATCCTCTAGACACCTCTAAATTTCAACCACAGAAGTTTTTCCAATTTTACAAAACAGTCAAGAGTACCAGCTGTTACTTTATTGCAAAAAACCCAATTCAACAATACAAATACTAACTTTTAGCAATGATTGCAAAAGTCCTCACAAATCCTATGAAAAATCCAATTCTACACCTTTTGAAGGAGCTTGAAGCTAGCTCTCCGACCCCAAAATCCTGATCTCTGAATGCCCCTCTCCTTAACATCTCCTCCCTTTTAACTCCGTGTGGTCTCCTTTTCTTCCATCCTAGACTTCGAATTGGAACAGCCGACGGCCCTTCACTAGAATTCCTGTTTCTAAGAGGATCTTTCCATGGAAAGGATGTTTCTCCCGAAACGACATAGAGAACAAAACAACTTGAAATGGAACCAAAGCCTCCATATTTGGGACCTCATTTGGTTGCTTAACCAAGTCACGTCTCATACTGGGTAAGAGGCCCATACCAGGACCTGGATTGGATATCTCCATAATTGGGTCAAATTGGCCCTTCACATCAGATGCATCCGAATATGGAATTGGTCCTTTCTCCTTTTGCCGACTCCTAGTAAGAACGGCTCGGACTCAGTCTACCCGATCTATTGGAGAATCTTGATGACCTTGATTTATCTCCTCAATTTTTCCTTGGCTTTGGATCTGCTGATTCCGTTTATTGAAATTGGACAGAGCATTACATTGCTCATAAGTATGCCTCGAGTGCTTGTAATTCCTTCACACTGGCATAATGATCAACCTGTCTACAACAAAAATGACGAAATGGTCTTCATACACCCCCATCATGCATATTGGGTGTCTCCATTAGTATATATCTACTAGGCTTGTTCCATGTAGGGTTGGAAAATGATCCTGGTTGTCTCGTTGGTATGGAGGGTACTTGGTTTGATGATACCGGTGTCATATTACGTACTTTTCTGCTCGAGAACGCGCCGGGCGTCTGGCTGTAGAAGATAGTATGGAGATTCGCC